TTGAGCAAGCAGGACTACGTGATATTGCTGATTAATGCATGGCTTGCGTACAGTACAAAAAAAATTCTCACAGATTGAGCAAAGATGTTTCCGCTGCTGCCCTTGTTTAAACTAACCCAAAAGCTCCAGCTTTGCTGTGTTTCATTTGCTGTAATCATTAAACAAACAACCTTGGTGGCCTTCATCTCCCTGGCTGAGACCTTTCTGAGTGAGCTGCCCCTAAAAGAAGAGCTTCTTCACCTGAACTTGGCCATATTGTAGTGAAGTACCTGAGCTCCATCTGCGCTCATGGAAAGACCTGAACACCCCCACAGTAAGACTGAGCCCCCTCACAGGGTGTCTCCATCTTGGGCAGCTGCTGCTGATGGGCTCCATGTCCCTCCAGGAGGTCCTGCCTGCCGAGGGACCGGCACCCACCACCTGACCAGTGGGGTTTGGGGGGACCCAATGGCACCAGTTTGTACCAGGACATTTCTGAAGGAGCAGAATAATAAGGAACTATACCAAAAACTTCCCAGAGATATTCTGTAATGGTCTAATAAAAAAAAATTATACATTTTAAAGAGTATGAAAATGTGAAAAAATGGAAAAAAAAATTTGAACAGCATGAAAAAACCCGCTGCTCCTCACAACCTTTCCGCAGTAGCAACCCACACCCTTCTCCTATGGCTATTCAGGGTTTGAGTACAAGTTTCCTAGGATACTCAGCGGTCACTATACTGAGCTCTAGCTATACGCACCTGTGGATACAGCTACGCCCTAATATAAGCTTGGAGGGCAACAATTTACAATGCAAGAGCATGTGTTTCTCTGTTACTAATTGACTTCAGCTGGCAGGATTACAATATCAGTCCTGTAAACCAGCTTTTTTCCTTCCCTACAGATGTCATGTTTAAATCATTATAATAAAAGAAGTTATACGGCCTTGAGTCTCCACTTCCCTCTGCTGCTGAGGCGCCAGCGTAACATCAGAGAAATCAGGGATCCTTCTCCAGGGACAGACCCTTCAGAGACAAGATGCACATCTTCGGGATTACAGAACAACAACAGGAATAAAAACATGATGGCAGCAGGAACACCGGTACCCTGCAATGGCTGATAGCTGCAGCGTGAGCTCCCCCATCTCTTGGGAGGGAGATGTGATGTCGAGGCCAGCTGGAGACCTCGGCAGACTAAATACATTGCTAAACCCCTCAGGAAAGCTAGTAGGTCCCGCCGATGGGCACGTGGCACCTCCTCCCGCAGAGGAGGTAAATTGCCAAAACCCCATTTCTTTGCAGTTTTCCTCTGTGTGAGCCCTACCCATCCTCAGCCTTGACCTCAGACCATGGGCTCCTCCTGGCAGTGCCTGTGTGGCTCCTGTGCTGTTACCATGACTCACGTAGCTAAGGCAACCCGATGTTGCCAGCAGCATGGTACATGATGCCTCAGACTCCGGAATGACGATCAAATCCCTTCTCTGGAGCAGGCGCTCACTTAAGGGACATGTGCTGTGGCAGAGCAAGCAACCCACCCTCCAAAAGCTGGCACCACCAGCCCATCCATCTAGGCTGAGTGTAGCCGCCCCGTCCCACATCCATAAAAAAATGCAGCAGAGGGTGGTACTGGCATCCCCAGTGAGCACGGGAAGAGGGAGACGGCCACATGGGACGAGGCTCCAGTGAATGAATGTCAGTGCATTTTCCATCATCTCCCCCTGGTTAACACTCCCCACTGCATTATTCCCCCCCCCCCCCTTCCTAAGAAGAGAGAAAAATGCCTAAATTTTCAAATTCCTGCAGATTTCTTGTATTCTGGGGGTAATGAAGGGCTGGTGCCTGATGACTTTTTTTAACGGCAGCCACAGTAATTGTATTTGGGAGCTCACACTCTGCCGAGGCACAGACATGGTGACGTAGTGCATTGCAAGAAAAAAAAAAAAAATCTCTTCTCTTGCTCTTGCTGGTAACACAACCAAATTAAACTAAACTGTCCCTTTAGGCAGCTACAGGTTTCTCCCAGCCACCAGTCCCAGCTTGGACAGAGACAGCAGCAGTCATCTGAACTGCAATCACCCAGAGCTCCTATTAGCTAAAGCTGGGTTGTGGCCCTTAATTATCAAAGCCACCCACTACCTACACGTACTCAAATTGCCCTGTGACACTCGGCCATCCCATGCTTGTTCGAAGCTTTGGTGCCAGGGTACAGTGCAGGGCTGCATCACATCTCTTACCCCTCTCCCCAAGCGCACTCTGCTGCCAGCTCTTCACCTAAGGTATTAACCCTTATTATTTAAAAATATATCCATATTTTTTCTTTTTCTAAGCAAAGCTAGTGCTATATACTTGTAACAGTAGTGATCAGCTACCTTGGCATGCACTAAGATTAGGGCTGTGCTATTTACCTGTAAGCAATTGCCACATTTCCCAGGTCAGATTGCTCTGAGCTCCTTGAAGCTCTCTGTTCTTTCCCGAGATGTGTTCCCATAAGAGATTACGCATGATTTGACTTTGCTGCCCACTTTGGGGTCAGTTTACTCTCTCAGTAAAGGCAAATAGGCTTTAAAACCTACTTAATGGAATTTTTGTGTGGTCACAATGCCAGAGACCTAAAATTATGGTATTTTAATGCACTGGACTTTCCTTTTATGTGGTTATCCAATTAACAAGCCCATGCTACGTAAAAAAGTGGAGCCTTCTTACAATGGACATACACTGGAAACTAGGGTGCCAGTTCTGCAAGAACCTACCTTTTTCTATGCTGTGAGCAATTTTTTTCACATTCTTTACCTAATAATCCTATTTTTCTAGCAGTTTTCTAATTTGGCCAGTGCTAAGACAAGTTGACTGTGGTGAGAGCTGGGGGAGGCTTTGAATTTTTCAAAATGATGGATAAATGCATAAGAAAAATCACTCAGATGAAAGCAAAAGCAGGAAGACAGAGACCAAAGCAGGCTGCTGACCCCGCATCCACAGATGCAAGTCTCATTTAAAAGCGAATTCAGGGTTTTTTTACTGGACCTTTTGAAGCAAGGTGTGCACAAACATGCCAAGTCCTGCAGCCTTTCCACACCGGGAGCCTTCCTCCAGATGTTCCTTGTACGCTCCTGACTTGTTGCTTTGGTTTTTTTCTCTTTTTGAAGTGGTGTCCCATTTCCTGTGCACAAAGACTGTTCCGTGTTGTATTTTGGAGCCCAATTAAAAATATCATAATGATTTCTGCTTAAGATCCAGCTCTGCTCCTGGCTGGCTCCAGCTCCCTTATTCTTATGGGGCCTTTTGGGCAGGAACTTGCTGTTTTACATAGCAGACCAGCATTTGTCCAGAAAATGTAGCTGTGCAGCCTGATGGTTACTCAATCAAAACAAACAATATCACACTAAAAAGTGAGCTATAGAGTTGACTTTCAGGGAAAAGTCTGCAGCTCTTCATGCCGGGACACAGCCACGTGTATGGTCCGCAGCCGCTCACCCACTCCATGAGCAGTGATGGCCCGCGTGGTCTTCCCAGAGCAGTCCCCAGCCCATCCCACCCTGAGAAGCTCAGCCGAACCATGCCCGGCTCATTCATCAACGCCAAGAGCATCGCACAGACCCCCATTTTGTTCTGGCCCTCCCCACAGATGTGCGCGCTGCCGTGAATTATCAAAGCACGGCCGTATACTCCAGCCAAGGAGTGATTTGCAGTGGAAACGGGTTTGGCTGTAGCTCTAATTTGTTCCTGGGGAATGGGATTCAGACCCTGCTGAAGTCCCTGGGAACGCTGCCAAACTCTTCAAAGGGGCCAGGCCTTGCTTTGTAAACTCACCTCTGGGGTTTGGCTTGCAAACACCTATAGAGGTGTTGGTCATTCAAGAAAAATGATGGAGGAGAACAGGACTCAAAGTCCAAAGGGTGATGCTGCATGAAGTACGTAGCCGAGCAAATACTGCTTTGGAAACAGCGTGCATAAGTTCATTAAGGCAGCCCTGCCCTTGGCTGCAGCATCAAGGCAACAGCTAGGAAGCTGGAGCAGCCTGGTGTCAGCTATCGTAAAAGGGTGACAAAATGAATGGCGTACAAGAGGAAGGGATGGCAGGCTTGCACATGCTTCTTAAATATCACCTCCAACCACCACAGCCTTTACTGATTTTCCCGTGGCGCTGGGCACTGGCCAGACTATAACAAACTGTGGTCCCCTTCCCTGGGGGAAGGCTGGAGGGGGAAGAAAATGGGATAAATCTGGTGATTGCAGGGGACAACAAAAAAGATAAGGGGGAGCAGTGTTAATGCAAAACTGGAGAGGTGGGGAAGGGCTGATGGTGATGGTGCAGAGCTGGCTGGATGCAGGGCCTCAAACGAAGCTGGTGGGCTTGGCCAGGTCCCGGCTGAGCCTCCTGGGGCAACCAGGGGCTGGGCCCCAAACCAAATGCCCATGGGGCGCCCGAGGGAGATGGCAGCGGCCTGCCACAGGCAGCGCACAGGCCCCTCTTCACCAGGTGGAGATGGTGCCAGGGCAGACCCAATGTGGCAGAGATGCCCGGCCCGGGACCACAGGGACCAATGTGGCAGAGATGCCCTGTGGTACACACAGAGACCTCGTGTACCCCAGAGTGGACCTGAGGTGCGGCAGGGAGTGCTCAGAGGGGCAAGATGGGGGTGCATCAGGTCACAGCAGCCCGCTCCTCACCGGGGGTCTGTCCCTGATGGACAGAGAAAACAAACGGGGGCGAAAGGGGGCAGAATTGGGGTCCCCTCCCGGGGCGGCCGCTGTCCCCCTGCCCACGGCGGCAGCTGAGATGGGGGCCCTCGGGGGGCCCCCACCTCCCCACACCCAGCCCGCCGAG